TCCAGTTAATTGTAATTTAAAAAATTACACTTTACCCACCCACCTATACGTTTTTGTGCACATTACCCACTCAACTTTTTATTATTTACACTCTGCCCATAGAAATGGCCGGACGGTGACCGGAAATTGGTTAAGTCCAATTTTTTAGAATGTTATATGGACAAAGTGTCACAAAAAAAAGTTGAGTGGGCAAAGAGGTGGGTTAAGTGTAGTTTTCCCTAAATTAAATAAACAAAATACGTTACTAGCATTTCTCTCGACAGCGAATGCTCGGATATTCACATCGGTGCGGTAGGCCACGACATCCACGACTGCCGCGGCCAGTCGAGCGGGGCCCGCAAGGGCTCCCACTCGTGGATAAAGGCCTCCATCAACGACGTGCTCGTGCCAATCGAGTCGTACCACATGTTCGACCCGTTTGGCCGCCGGGTCAAGCACGAGACCCGGTTCAACTACGACCGAATACCCGCCGTAGTCGAGCTCTGCATCCAGGCTGGCGCCGAGGTCCCCGGTTACCCGTCTCGAAGGAGAACCGAGCCCATAAGAATGCTCGGGAAAAAAATTCTCAACCTAACCCACGAGCCCGAGCCTAGTAACTCTCCCGGCCCGCTAGCTGCGGAGCTCGACACGTATCGGGCCTTGGAGAGGTTTCCGGGCCCAAACGGGCCCGAGATGCTCAGGATCTCACAGGAGACTCTCGACGCGTATATGAAGGTGAAGAGAGGGGTGACGAGGCTGATGGGGAAGTACAGTGTGAAAGCGTGCGGGTACTGTCCGGAGGTGCACGTGGGCCCGTTTGGCCATGACGCGAAGCTTTGTGGGGAGTTTAAGCATCAGTGGAGAGATGGGAAGCACGGGTGGCAGCACGCGACTGTGGATGAGGTTTTCCCACCGAATTACGTGTGGCATGTTAGTGACGTGGAAGGCCCGGCGCTGGCGAATGCGCTCAGGAGATTCTATGGGAAGGCTCCGGCTGTGGTGGAGCTGTGCGTGCAGGCGGGTGCTCGTGTGCCTAATGAGTATAGGGCGATGATGAGGCTCGATATTGTGCTGCCGGAGGATGAGGAAGCTCGTTTGGTGGCCTAGTGG